AAATGGTTGAACATCTCTGATCTATTGTCTTTCTGGCACAACATGCATCAATTACAAAGTTATACATTGGTCTTTTCAATATTAGAACACTAGACACTTATGTTACATGTTAATATTAAGTCAATAGAGATCTTGAAAGGAAAACTAAAACGTCTAAGATTTGTTTTAATATATATATAAATTCCACTTTTATATGCCAACATCTTAATAAAGGCCATTACACCACATAAATATTCCGAAACACCAAAATTCTGATGCTAAATGCTACCTTTTCTTACTTAGATTCAGGATTTAGTTATAATTCTAAACGTCAGTGTTAGGTTAAAACCGCTAACACGTGTACTATCTTGATGATCAAACCTTTATCATTTTATACTGGTTACCTTTGTGGCGTTTGTTGGCTGACAATAGCATTCGCAGTCTCCCTCAGATACACCTCCCAATCTGTCTCAGGGATTTCTTGATCTGCAGTAAAAGGATACCTACACAACAAAAAGAGAACAAGAAAATGAAACAGATGTGTGATTACATCTCAGGTCGTTCCCTGCAGTAACTGCCCTTCTACTCACTGCTGCACTCTGCAGGCTTCACACATGAGTAGAGCTTTCCTAAGATTTCGGCAGGACTTCTCTGCTATTCTATGGGCCAGTTCCGAGGGAAGATTCAGACCTTCCTTCTTGCACACGGTAGACAACACATGGCAAATCTACAAAAACAAGATGATCAAAAATGGGTAATATCTGTGGATAACATCTTTCTAGACATTTATACCTGTATTGCTCTCAAATTTTTTACAAGTGAAACTTATAATAAAGGTACTTTACCACTCTGCATCAAACATAATGTCACATATTATCCCTACTTTACATAAAACCCCCAAATCTATTAACAGCAGAAAAGCTATTTCATGTGAAATATCAGAATTTTTACTGATGACTGTTAAGAATGATAAAGAAAAAATACAAATACGAAGGTTATTTCACACAAGGAGTAGGTATTCCTACATCATCTCTTTGCAGTCTCTTTGTCTCCATATCTCAGCCTCCTCTTACAGTCAATTAAGACAGTTTGAGGAAGGAACACTAAATAACTAGCCCTTACCTCGTTTAGTAGAATTCATAATAATTACTTGTTTAAGCTAAGACATGGTTGGAAGAGAAAGAACACTGTCTACTGACTGGAATCTGATATTTACTACTATGCACATTGGCCTGTGCATTCATTAATGGTTTGCATCCCTGTTCATACATGCTCTTGAATAACTAATATACTTCATTATGTTTTTACAAAAACACGCATGACAGGGATATACACACAATACTCAGAGACTCTGACTTGAACTTTCTCTGGAAAGTGTAACTTGACTTACATCTTCAATGCTGGGTGCGGGCACACGGACTGCCAAGCACCTGCTACGAATAGGAGGGATTACTTTAGATGTAGAATTGCAGCACAGGATCAGTCTGCAGGTGGACATGTACTTTTCCATGGTTCTTCGCAAGGCGTGCTGAGCATCTTTGGTGAGTTTGTCAACTTCTGTCAATAATACCACTGAGTCAAAGAGAAACCAAACAAATTTTAACTTGAGTTCACTCAAACTTTAACTTGTCTCTTTTTCCTCCTCATTCTTCAGAATGAAATCCTAAGTAATAAATCTGATACACAACTCCCCTTTGGCAAGGACAAATTATAGTTACAGATATGGTAAAAAATATTTATTTATTTTTAAGAATTCTATAAGCAAACAAGACTAAGAAACACTAAGCTAAATGAAGTTAAGAAGGTTACTTTGTTGTAGAATTCATTGTAGCCTTTATTATTCATATGCACTAAAAATTACCAAGAAAACAGTATATTCTGCTACATTTCCTTAAAATAACTTATCTCAGGAGCACATTTCAGGGACATACCTTCATCTAAAATCTTAAGGAATATACTTTTTAAAACAGTGGTATGAGAGATGTAGCCAAAAAGCATCGAGACATCTGGCTATTGAATAGTAAGTTTCCACCTGGACACAATCAAGGATAGACCTTAAAGTGGGTCAGGAATAATATATGTAGACAGAAACTGAATCTGAATCCAACAATGTATTTTTAAATATATTAACAAATTATTTCTAGAAGAGGACCATGACAGAATACGGCATTTAAATCTCCCCAATAAAAACAAATGGAACTAGAGTCCAAAACAAAAGACCCATAAAATTTGCATCAAAACTAAATGACAAGTTTTACTTAAGAGCCACAAACATAGGTAAGTGAGAATACACCACTAAAACTGGTAAGGCCCACACAGTATCTGCATCAGTGTGGGAGGAGGTAGCAGGAATCCATCAAGTTTTTAAAGACAGCCTTTAAAACAGAAGAATCTTGAAATCACCCACAAGAACACACTGGAAATCATCTAGGACCAATTTGAAAGCAGCAGTCTTAATTAGGAGACAGATTCCATAGAACACAATCCATGGGTGAGAAAAGGTGAATCCTGATGTGGTAAGATGTCACAGAGCAGCAGACTCTGAGACAACAAAATGAAACTGCCCTCTAAGACTTCCAAACCGAGAAGAAATCCTGCAAACAGAATCCAAATTGAGGACAGGAAAAAGAGAAACAAAGAAAAGAATCTCAAACTGGCAGAAAAGACAGGTGCTAGAACTCAGAACACAAGGCCATATAATTTATTTTTGTAGAGACAGGGTCTTGCTCTGTTGTCCAGGCTGGAGTGCAGTGGTGCAATTATAGCTCACTATAATCTTGACTGCCTGGGCTCAAGCAATCATCCCACCTTAGCCTCTGAAGTAGCAGGGACCGGAGGCATGAGCCACCATGCCTTGTTAATTTTTTAATTTTTTGCAAAGACAGGGTCTCACTATGTAGCCCAGGCTGGTCTTGAACTCCTGGCCTCAAGTGAAGGGTCATACACTTTTATCACTTTGTAAAAATAAAACAAGAGGCAGCTTTAGAGCCCTGTACATAGAAAAACTCCCTAACTTTCCCATCCTTCATGAGAATCTGGAAAAACTCACTTTACTTTTGACAAAATGGCCAACAGAAAAGGATCATGGATGAGTTTAAATAGTTATAAGAAAAAAGAGCATGGCCAGGCTCAGTGGCTCAGCCTGTAATCCCAGCACTTTGGGAGGCCGAGACAAGAGGATTGCCTGAGCCTACGGGTTCGAGACCCACCTGGACAACTTGGTGAGACCTCGTCTCTACAATAAATCAAAAATTAGCCAGGTGTGGTAGGGCGTGCCTGTAGTTCCAACTACTTGGAAGGCTGAGGCAGAAGGATCACCAAAGCCCAGCAGGCTAAGGCTGTGGTGGCCGGGAGCATGACACTGCCCTCCAGCCTGGGTGGCACAGTGAGACTCCAAGGTCACAAAAAAAAAAAAAAAGAAAGAAAAATGATCAGAGGAGCAGAATAATACCTCAGAAGAATAGATAGAAGAGTCAAAGTATTTCCTAAACTATAACTTAATTATTAGTTATTGCTCTTTCTAAGTAACAGTAAGCTTCATGTAAAAACATTTATGCTACTTCAACTATAATTGAGTGCTGGAATATTGTATTTTTGATGATCCTAAAACATTTCATTTTTAAAGGTTTATAACTGTAATTAGGTGTTACTGATTTTAAAATTTTAACTACATTTCTTATATAGATCTTAAATATTTTTCTCATAATAACAAAGTAAGAATAAAGGGCAATACTTTCTAAATATTTACATATACATCATTATTTTTGTTTTGGATAGTGATCCTGGAAAGAGTGACTAAGTAGTACTTGGAGAAAACAGTAACATATTCTTTTAAACTGATACATCATAACCAAATGAGGTTTACTCCAAAAATGCACAGCAGTTTCAATATTATAAAATCTAGGAATATAACCTATGATACTAATAGAACTAAGACCACTATCTCTATTACTGTCAGGTACTGTACTGGAGGACTGGCCAACATAATTATCAAAAGAAAGTACTGGAGCTATACAAATGGGAAGAGAAAAAATTACTTCTACTTATAAGTTATAAGAATATATATCTGAGCTGGGCTCGGTGGCTCAGCCTGTAATCCCGCACTTTGGGAGGCTGAGGTGAGTGGATAGCCTGAGCCCACAGGTTTGATAACCACCTGGGCAACTTGGCGAGACCTCATCTCTACAATAAATCAAAAAATGAGCCGGGCATGGTAGTGCGTGCCTGTAGTTCCAGCTACTTGGAAGGTTGAGACGGAAGGATCGCCGGAGCCCAGCAGGTCGAGGCTGCGGTGGCCGGGAGTGGCCACTGCACTCCAGTCTGGGTGACAGAATAAGACTCAAACTCAAAAAAAAAAAAAATATGTATCTGAAAAACCCAAAAGAAACTATGGAACGATGATTACCAAAAAAAAGATAATTTAATAACATAGTAATATATAAAATTAAGATATAAAATGTCAATAACTGTCACATACATGCAAAAAAATTCAAAAAAAGTAAGATACCATTCACAGTAAAAAAAAATAAATTTAAAGTGTAAATTTATTTGGAAATGCAAAGACTGAAAAGAAAGTAGGCTGGGAATATACACAGGAAATTCACAAAACAATAAAAATGAACAATGAACAAAATAAAAAATTATCATGCTCACTAAAGAAAAACGAACGCTATTTTCTCCACTCAAATTGACAAAGATTAAAAACAATTATCTTCAGTGTTGATAAATGTCAGGGAGAAACGGACACTCCTGAAAAATGCTAGTAATAATATAAATCTACATCCTCTTTAGAAACTAAATTTGGCAAAATATATCAAAGCATTAAATGATAGCATTTATTTATTATCAAAAAATCTCACCTGTAAGAATGTACGCATATACATGCATAGAAAAAATGCTGACAGACATACCAAATGTTAATAGTAGGTTGTCTCTGGATAATAGAAATATAACTAATAGTACTTTTCTTTTTGATTATCTAAATATTTGATAGTGAACATATAATGTTGGTCATAAGAACAGCTATTTTAAGATCATGTAACATTATTTTTTAAAAATAATTTTAATTAGTCATCATGTTCTAAAATGTCAAATGGGTGTCACAACTGTCCTCTTTCACATAAAATTCAATTCCATTCGACTATAAACTGCTATGAACAGACATCATGCCTCACTTTTGTTCACTTTCAGAACTAAAAAAAAAAAAAAAAGGCAATAATGCTTGGCAGCTTCATCAAAAGCAATCTTTTATATCACATACCTTTAAAATCTCTTTGAGAGGTTGTTTCAAGTTGCTGTGACTGTGCCACCGTTTTCAACATCTCCTGAATTACTACCCGGTCACTATTTCCAGCATCACTACACAGAACAAAAACAATGGTACATATGTGTAAACATTTAAAAAGTTAGTGTGCTCATATTCTTAATCTGTTATTATAAGAAAAATGTTGAAGATATTAAGTGGTTAAAGCCTTATCAAAATTAGTATCACCTAATTATAATTATAAACCTTTAAAAGTAAAATGCTTCAGGGTCATTAAAAGTACTAACAATATTCCAGTTGGATCAGCATCATTGAAAACACTAAACATGTTCTTACACTAAGTTTACTGTCAATGTAAAAGGAGCAATAACTAATGAGTAGGTAACAGTTTAGCAAATACTTTGACACTTTTGTCCCCTCTATAGAAAATTAATATACTTAATTACAGCTAATTTCTCAATTATCTGTAATTATCAAAATACAAAAATAACTCATTGAAATAGATTTAATATCTGTTCTTCCCTTTCCCCCAAATAGTGATGGTCCAAGAGAGAACAAACCTAGAGAACTCTGCTCCCAGCACTAGAATGGAATTGATTCAGATACTTGGCTAAGGAAGGGGATATGCAAACTGAGATTAATACACAAAGTCAGAACTCTGTTAGTTGCTGACTTATTGCCGGCATTAATCTGTCATGTGCAACAATTTTACTACTTGGCACTTAAGTCAAGAACCTTTCAAACCAACAGGTCAGGTGGTCAATTTAGGCTGAATGATTATTAATTTCAATCACCCAAAAAAGAATCAGCTTATTTTCCAGTTGGCTATCCTTGTTTCAGAGGAACTCACAATGAGAAAAAGAGGTCAGAGCAATCAGCTTTAGTTTATTTTCTCAGACTGGAAGTTTTTCCAAAGTCACTATAATTAAATTAATATACCTATAGTGTCTCTCCTAAGACCATTTGCCTTGCCAAGAAGCCAAAACATTTTCCATTTGTTCATGGACTTCATACTCCCTTTGCTTTTTTGGTTTTTTTTTAATTACACTCATTCCCTTCTTTCTCTTAATTGTCACTGACATACCTACGGAAAATAACAATACCTATCTGTTAGGGTTGTTTTAAGGATATTATTTAATTTTAGTAATTCACGTAAAGCTTCTCACATACTGCCTGCCACTGCATAAACCACAATGGTGTCTGTGCCTATAATGCTGCCTTTGTCTAAAAATGTCCTTGATTCTGTTATCCTTCAAGAACACCTCTAGCCCCAGAAAACATCAAAGTCTTTCCCAACTTGGCTCCCAGAATCACTTCCACCCACTTTTTTACATAACTGCTGCTGCATGAGTTTTCAATGTCTTCTCAACAAGATCATAATCTAATTATCTCATGATAGATAACAAGGACTCTGGTTAGTGAACTATTACAATGCCTCTAATCAAGAACTAGAAACAGGGAGCGGCAAAGAAAGATCTGGCAAGCCAAATTCAGTTTCTGATCTAGTTACTCCAAACATTATAGACTTTTTAGACACACTGCTCATAGTTATGAATGATCCAATAAAATTTAACAAAGTTACTAGCAATATAATAAGTATTGTGTAAATAAGCACCATAGAGCAAGAAAACTTAAACATACTCAGGCAAAGTGGAAAAGCTCTAAGCTCCCTATTTCATGTAGGGTTGCTTCACTTTAATAAGTTTTATACATTCCAACACCACAATTTTATTTCAAGAAAAGGTTCTAATCTTAAAAAAAATCTGAAAACCATTTTTCTAAAAATGCTTATTTGTATACAGTAGCAATTTACCTGGGATTAACTTCAAGGTGATAATTACTTGCAATGGTGCTGATTTCAATTTTTTTTTTAGATGGAGTCTGTGGACCCAAAAAAATAGATTTTAACATTTACTTATTGGCTACTTCCCCTCTTTTTAAAAAATTATTTTCATTGGTTATTATATGATTTATGCTTGCTAAAAAAACAAAACTCAAGATAACCACCATCAATGTATTGACTTAATTAACCCCATTATTGTCTTGTTGTGCAAATACATTTTTATACATATTGACTCATATCACAAATCCTATTTCTATTGTGATTACATTTTTCTTCTTTTTAACTCCAGAAATCCCCAAACTATACCAAATAACCACCAAACCATCACTGCAAACTATCTATATATATCCTCACAGCTTTTACCATGTAAACACCAAAACACACGTGCGCGCGCGCGCGTGCACGCACACACACACACACATATTTTTATATGGAATGTCAATGTTTCTTGTAGAAAATAAAAATTAAAAAAAGAAAATCACATACATTTCTGTTTTGCTTTCCCTACTTAACGATATATCTTGGCAATCCCTCTAGACAACTGGTATACTGTTATAGTCATATATCAACCTTGCATGAATGTTCCAAAGCTAGTCATAGGATGGACATTTTGGGTTTTATACTCAAACAACTCCACAATTAACATCGTTGTACATATGTACATATGTCTTCTGTACTGCTTTCATTTCTATGTAAGAGAGTCCCAGTAAAGACCTGCTGGATAGAAGGCAATGTGACTTCTAAACTTTAATATAATATGTATGTGTATGTATATGTGTATTAGGTCACTTTGCTTTCCAAAAAAGTCTAGCAGATTAACTTTTCAACAAACACTCTTCCCCAACATTCCCCATCTATAGGTTTTATCATGCCTTTCAAATTTTCAATTTAGTTAGTATATAATGGACTCGCAAATGTCAAACATCTTTACATATGTTAATTGCCACTTACATTTGTCTCCTGTGACTGTTTCTTAACCAGTTTTCTGAATAACAGGTTATTTTTCTTTCTGTAGCCAATCTGTACAAATATTTTCTATTGATTGTACTTTTGTCATTCCAATTTTTAAAATTCATATATCTCCAAATATCTATTTATTTTCTTCTACAGTTTCCATGTTTTCCATTAAACGGTGTTCTTGGCCAGTAGACACTTCATATAGTCTAGGAAATTGTACTCTTTTAAGTTTCATGTTAACACCTAAGCCTTTATTCATCTGGAATTTATCTTTATAATAAACTGTGTCATAGGGATTCAACTTTGTTTTCTAGTTATGCTGGCACATTTTCCTGGCTCATCCTCTTCCACTGTCTTGAAATAGACCCCTCATCATATTTCTGGCCTCTCTGTTCAGTTTCACTGGTCTAATTCCCTATTTTAATGGCCAATATAACATTACTTTGATAACAACAGCCTTACAATATGGTTTACTATATGGTACCACAAGTCCCACTTCACTAATCTTCTTTTTCATAATTACTTTAGCTCATCTCAGAAATGTATTCTTCCATATGGACTTGAAGATCATTTCATACAAGCATAAAAACCACTAGGGTTTTAATTAAAATTTCATTGAAATTTATACTGCAACGTGGGGCAAACACTTTAAAATATTAAGCCTCCTGTCTGAAAACATGCTGCATCTTTCCATTTGCTCAGCTGTTTTGTGTCCTTCTGAAAGATATTACAGTTTTTTTCCCCTAAGGATTTCATATCTTTTTTGTTAAATTTGTCCCTATATGTTTTGTAAGAATTTCCTCCAGGATGTATACAACTCAATATATCTAAACACATGCTAATCAACATTAGCCTAAAAGCCAGTTATCTTCCTGAAGAATGTATTAATAGCACTACCATCCACACTCAGCATAGTTTCTTCAATGCCTAAAATGTATAAAACATTCTACCAGTGGCCTTGAAGACATGAAAACGAATACGATATTCTCTAATAAATTTAAACAAACACAATCTTGTCAAAGTGAAAGATGTATAAACAACCACAATCAAGGCAAAACCAAGTACACATTATAAAAAGTATGAACTAGAGGTTGTAGAAGAAAAATTAATTCTAATGGGGTGGGAATAAGGAGAAGACATTTCAGCTAGATCTTAAGCATCATCCATAAAGAAGGGACATAAAAATGTACTGCATGGTAAGAGGCTGGAAAACATGGCCAGGACAAAATCACAGGAAGTCTCAGCAACCCAGAGTTTTGTGTCTTCCTTTCCAGTCAGTTGTCCAATCTTTACCAAGTAGTTTGATTCCCTGTTTAAAAGCTTTATCAAAAACATGCCCTTTCTTTCCATCTTCACCATTCCTCTCAGAACAGTGAATTTAGAAACCTGAATTCTAGTCTCAGCTAAGACATCATCTTGCCAGGTAATCTGAAGTGAATCTCATCCTCAACATTTTACCCCAAATCCCCCGGTGTCCATATTTCATGTCCAACATAAATGACTCTGCTCTGGTTATAACAGTTATGTCCATAAATCAGTAGTTGTCAACTCTCTGCACCAGGATTATCTGCAAAATTCTTGTTTAAATCATACATTAGGAAGCAATTGGGGGAGAGGACGATGTACCCAGGACCAGGTTTAAAAATCCCTGCTTCAAATCACAGGATACCTGATCTCAAACCAGGTGAAGTGGGGACCAAAGGGAGGTCCAACTTCACCTGTAAGACGACCACTTGCATATGTAACCTTGAATTGTACCCCACATCTGTAAAATAAAAATTAAAACTTAAAAAAAACACTTTGAAGACCTCAAAGTGAAATGCTTACCGTGATAGTCTGATGTTCAATTCTCAATTTTTCCACTCCAACACCATAAAGTTCACGTAAAATACACATAATTCTTGTCTTCTTTCCAGCACCCGATGGTCCATACACTAACAAGTGAGGAAAGTCACCACACTGCACCTGAAATAGAAAAAAGAACAAGGCATTCTTCCCTAGTCACACTGAACCACTGAACTGCTCCAGTAGAACCAAACGACTTTTTAAGTACCAACTATTTTGTGTAGCTACCTATGAAACTCTAAGTTCAAATATATGTTCATATTTTTAATAAATTCCAAAATGTTGATTATTCTCCTGGCACTAACTTTATGATATAGTACAAACAAGATACAACACTAAATGCTAGAAAGCAGGAACTCCTAAACCTGGTTCACCATCAGAACGACCTTGGGAATTTCACAAAATTAAGTACAGAGTGATTACTGGACTCCACCATCCTTGAGATTAGGATTCTAAAACTTTGAGATAGAGGTTTTTCTTAGTTTAGGCTCCTAGAAACTTTCACAGGAGTGTAGGGATGAGAAACCAGAGAAAGAAGGCAAAGGAAGACAGCCAGTAGGTGTGTGTTAACAAGCTAAATACCACTCTAGGCACCTGGGTGTGAACCCACTGGGGAAACTCTTAAAACAAGCACGACAAACCGTGGTGTTCACTCAAACAGGATTGGGCAGTAAGTGATAGAAACTGGAGTATGATACACTCTCTTGTCCATCCTTTGTTGAAGCCAGCTTAGGTAAGTGGAGCGGGGAAGAGAGGGAATTAATTCCCAGGCATCTCAAGTCCGCTTAGGGGTGTCAGCAAGAGAAAAACCTCAGGCAGGGTACAGATGCAGAAAGTTAAATAAAGCAGTATGTGCACACTTAAGGGCAAGAGGACCAGCCAGGATACTGACAGTGTCTGCTCCATTAAACACAAGACAGTGTTTTCCAAAAGCTTTCCAGGTGACCTGATGATGTTGAGTTTGGAAACCTCTGTTAATGAAAAGCTACAAAGATGACCAGGACACAGATATTAGCCTTAGGTACGTAACATTTTGTGAGGCAAGAGTTTTCTAAATAATCATTATGGACAAAATGAAACATCTTAACAGAGGAGCATATTACAACCAATTTTAATATTTTGTAAATTCATCCATCTCTAGCACTAAAAAAGAGAAGTCTCGAGAAAAGGAACTAGTCACCTAATACAGTGCCTGGAATTTAGTAGGTGCTCCACAAACACTTGCTACTTTGTTTTTTAAACTTCCATCTTACCAAAAATAAAGGTTTAAATATTGCTTCACATATTTCATAGTTTCATTAAGTTGTAGATTAAACAGCAAACAGGTGACATTTTTGAAAGCAAATTTATTAACCCTTAAGATCAGTATGTTAAATTGTTGACCAAAGTACACACTACAAATTCTGTAAAACAAAAAGTGGCCTTCGAAAATAAAATATATAATATGGTTAGGTAAACTGAAGTCCATTAATGAAAAATATAATTTGTCTATAAATAAAGCATACTGCTGTAATTTATTTATTTTACATTAGTACAGATACAATATCAAGAATTCAAGATACTAAAAAACCCTCCAATCTCACATCACCATCTTTTCTACATAAAGTCTTTTTATTATTGTCCATTTTTAAGAAGCGTTTGATAACTAAGGAGTATCTGTAATTCTGAAAAAAAAGGGTACGACCAGAGTATCAGCAAAAGTATTTCCACCAGCATTACATATTACTTTTAGGTCCGTAAAAGGATGTATCCACAGCATTAGACACTCATGTATTCACAAGGTCCTTCTCCCCTCCCTGCTCCCTGCTCTGCTTCCGTTTCCTTTTCAGAGACTTGCCTTTGGACACCTGTATCAACTACGACATAAAATAGGGGCATCATGGTGGTGTGGGGGGAATCTCCCATAAAGAATCCAACTCGGGGACGTCCTGATGACTTAGGAGAGAATCAGACGTGACCCGAGGAGTGAACAAACATTCACTGCACCTTCCCCGCAAAGGAGGACACTGACACCGAGACCTTTTGGGCGAACCATCCAAAAGCAAATTAGAGGATGTCCCCTACGCTCAAAACTCCCGGAGCCTTCCCACCTCACTCTGTTGGGGGTGGGGGGGTTACTGGAGCTGCACTCCCAACCCACCTCCCCACACCCCCCCATGTCCCACCACTGTACCCGCTGGCTTTTAGACAGGACATGAGGGGGGTGTCCTAGAACGCACCGCGCCCGCTCCTGCCCGCGGGCCCTTGCACCCCGCCGTCCCCTCGACTCGCTCCATTCTCGGGTCACGTTTCTGCGGGGACGGATGTAGGACTCAAGACTTCATCCCTTGCACTCATGACTGTCTCGCTTCTTCAAGTCTGGGCTCCGATGACACTTCTCGGGAAAGCTTTTCCTCGTTTAAAAATACATCCTCCACCCGCCTCCCCCTTCCCGGTTTACTTCCCTCTGGGCGGTTCGATCCCTCCGACGGCGGGGCCGGGAAGGGGATGCCCCGTCCTCGGGGACCCTCCACCCCCGCGCCGGGGCCTCCCCCGCGCCGCCCACTGCCGCGATCCCCGCGACCTACCAAGTTCCGCAGCTGGGACGCCTGCTCCTTGTGGTAGTCCAGCCTGCCCAGGGCGCAGGGCCGGTATTTGTCCACCCAGAGGCTCATGGCGGATCGAGGTCCCGGGGCCCGACTCTTGAAAATCCCGCGCGCGCGCTCTCTCAGCCCGCCCGAGCGCGGGGACGCGTCTTCCCGCGAGCGCCGGATCTCTTGACGTCACTTCCGGTCGAGGCCGCGCAGGCGCCCCCCGGGACGGAAGAGGTACGGAGGCCGCATGGGGACCGACCTAGGCGCCGCGTGGGCGTCACAAAGTCTTGCGCCTTATTGAATTATTTTCTCTTTGTCCTCGCCTTCTATGACCACCCGGAAGCTACCGAGCAGAATTGAAAACACAGGTCTGATCATCTTGGTGACAGATCCAGAGAGCTCGCAGAAGTCCCTTTCTCGATGCATTGCATTCATTCATCCATTCATTCACTCGGTTCCTTCAACAGAAGTGGTACGAAAGATCTGTGTCCACCTCTGTCCTGGGCACTAGAATGTTTGCAGCTCGGAGCTTCTCTCATTGGGCAGGCAGTCAGTCATGCCTTATCGAACACATTGCTAAAAAATAAGATCTGATCTTCACTGTCCCTGGTGGCCAATATCCTTCAATACCGTATTCTCATTGGATTCAGAGCCAAAAAAAAAAAAAGAAAATCAAAAGAACACTAAAAACGACAGAGAACGCAACCTGTAGGGGAGAAGACATGAGGATGACACTCTATGCTAAGTCCAGGATGTTTGAAAGCCATCTGATTAAAAGGAGGAGAAGCATGTGAAACCCTCAGGAAAATATTCAGCGTGGGAAGTTCATGTGTGACTTTGGAAGCGCCCTTCAAATTGCACTACCTCAAAATGCACTTGGCTAGTTGAACATCATATTCATTCTTTATTTAATCTATGCTTGTATTTTATGCCTTGTTCATAACCTAACCCCAGTCATCTGATTGCAAGGTCTTGCGGGACAAGAACTGATTTTCAAACATTTTTGGTGACAGTTCTCGTAGGCTTAAAATCAAGGGTTGCTCGTGTATGATAAATAGCTCCCATTAGAATAATTTTTTCTAAAAAGTCATTTTTTAAATTTTACAATGGTTAATCAGGCTGAATGTAAAGGCCACTTAGATTTTACAAAGCACTCTTTGCCTCCTTCCCTTGCACTGCCCTCAGAATATCATTCCTCTCCCTTCCTTTGTTTGACCTTTTTCAACTCTGTGGATGGATCTCATTTAGGAATCACTAAAGCTGGAAGAAAGCAGCTGCCCAGCATCAGATCCTCTGATATCCACGGAATGTGGAAAAGCAGCCCATGCCTTGAAGCAGCTATCGTTCTAAGTAAGAATCTCCTGGGCACTTTAGAAACTCTTGAATCTCTTAAGAGTGTTCCTCAACTTTTTGAGTGTAACCCTTTCTCCTATGTAGTTTAAGTTTAAATTTTACTTTAATCATTAGCTGAGATAGATGAAAGATTGTATGCTTAGGCTATAAGTGCTTAGAGATAAGCGTGCCTCTTGAACAAACTGTAATAGCTATAACAGAGCCCATTCCCTATTGCCTGGCTACAAAATAAACCCATTTTCTCCCAGCCCTCTGTTTCTTACGTCTGTCTGACACCATGAGACAAAGCAGCCAGTCTAGTTTACCAGAACGCTTTCATCGAGGTGACTCTTCTCATTCATTTATTAATCAACAATGTGCTCTTCTGTGAATATCAAATAAATGACTCCTGTGGACAAGATATTATTGTGCACAATCAATAGTGCCACCAAATATACAGTCCTTGTCCTTACACTTTCTAAAATAAGCTTGAAAGACCTCTGCTTTCAGGCCTTTGCAATCACTGTTTCCTCTTCCTGGACCTCATCTGTCCAATATCAACAGTGCTGGGGCCTTCACGTCCCTCAGGATGTTTGCTCAGATATTCTCTCCTCACAGAGGCTTCCCTGACCACCCTGTTTTATACTAAAAAAAAAACCCCAAAAACTCATTTTGAGTGAAAATGGAAGAAAAGTATTTGAAGCGGGAAGATAAAGGAAATTAGAATCAAGACTGAAACATCATCTGTGAATATTAGAGTTATGAAAAATGAAAATAATTACTGAAAGGAAGAAAGAGAACCAAGTGCTAGATGATCAGTGATTTGGCAAGAGCTACCACAAGCATGACAACTTCAATAAGGAGGTGTGGCTAATGGTGGAGTCTGAAGAATGTGCTTCTCTGTTGTTGGAGGATCTGAAGAAGGAGAAAGTATGGAAAGTCACCAAGGTACAAGAAAGATACTTAGCTCATCTAAGATTCTGCAAATGAAAATATAGGATTTTGCAAATAAAAATACAGGAGGCCCAGTTAAATTTGAATTTAAGATAACTTTTTTGTAATAATTGTAATAAATATTGTCAGGGGCATACTTATGTAAGAAAAAAAATCATTGGTTATCTAAAATTCAAATGTAACTAGTGCTTTGTGTTTTATCTGGCAATTCCACTCCTGAATCTTGAATATATGAGATGTAAAAGACTGTTATAGAGGAAGTAAAATCCTCAAGAAAGAGTCAAAAGATGAAGGATAAAAGTATTCAGAAAAGTAGTTGTGACTACAGAACCGGGTTCAGTAAACTATAGCTGCAATCACTTTAATGACTTTAACTTCAGGTTCCTTGGCTCTCAATGAGGCTAATAAAACCTGCTTTTTATGCTTCATGTGAGGATTAAATAAGGTACCATAAATACCCAGCACATAGCAAGCACTCAATCATTTGTGGTTATCTTTTATTCAGAAGAGAGATCTCTTCAACAATTCAGGAGAAAGGGCATGAAAACAGAGATGGTAAGCTAGCAACTAGGTGAACTCCTCACTAATCTCACCTGAACAAAAGTGATAAGACTGCCATCTGGTACCTGCACCCATGCTTTCCAAGGATCCTCAAGGTGTTTTACCTGGAATTATCTGGTGGTTCATCCCACCACACTTCTCTGGTACAGACTGGTCATTGGTTCTTGCCAGAATCCTGAGTAAAACCTTTCTCTAGATCGGATTTAATTTTGGTTCTTTTAAGGGAAATACAAAGGGACTTGAAAAAGTTCATAGAAGGAAACAGAATTAAAAGAGAAAAAACACAAAGTATAAAGTTTCTCAACATATGCTCCATCAAGGTGAAGACAATTTTGTAAGCAATGATACTGAGGCAGGCACACTTAATATAGTTTAGAAGTAGTTGGGCATATTTTCTTAGGCAGGTCTAATTTAGACCAGGGTAAGCCTTCAGAAATCTTTTTTGTCTGTACCTGACCTTCAGCTAACTGACCAGACATATCAGACCTGACTACCTTGCAAGTTGGAATGCAGAACTACCAGTACAGTAAATCACAGAAACAATAGGGAATTACCCAAAACACAGATATGATGTTTAAAAAAAAGAGAGAGAGAGAGAGAGAGAGAGAAACACCCAAATCTAGTTATACAATAGCTTCCTTTGTTTAGAAGGTCCTTGTGACCTTAAGAGGTTGAAAGACGGTGAACAAAACTCGTGACCAGATACCTGTAGCCCTCCACTCTTAGCTCATGGTTTGGTAATCACAGTTGTAAAAATATATAAAGCTTTCTGTCAAAAGCAAGCACATACTCTTTCTCTTAAGGCACCCATGCTTTTTCTTGAGTGTGCCTCTTTTCTTTCTATACATTCTTTCTTTTTTGTTGTTGTTGAGTTGGAGTCCCACTCTGTCACCCAGACTGTAGTGCAGTGGCTGCTCCTGGCCACCACAGCCTCAGCCTGCTGGGCTCTGGCGATCCTTCCACCTCAGCCTTCCACATAGCTGGAACTACAGGTGTTCGCTACCACGCCCAGCTGATTTTTTGATTTATTGTAGAGATGAGGTCTTGCTGCCCAGGTGGGTCTTCGACCTGCGGGCTCAGGCAATCCACTCACCTCAGCCTCTCAAAGGTGCGGGATTACAGGCTGAGCCACCGAGCCCGGCTATACATTCTTTCTTAAAGTATTCTTTGAATTCACTCTGAAATTCTTTTCTGTGGCAAAATCAAGATCTCAGCAGAGCAACACTCCACCAGACATCAATACTAGTCATCCCTATAGAACCAAGGGTCCTGGGAATTTAGCTATGTCAATTCAGTTTTTGTTTTTGTTGTTGTTGTTGTTGTTGTTATTTTACTTTATTAGCTGAAAAAAATGGATATCCTCTACATATTTTTTAAGAGTAGGAAACAAAAAGAAGTCAGGAGCTAAATCAGGACTGTAGTATGGTTGTCTACTGATTTATCATCTAAACTCTTGCAAAATTACCCTGTTTTGATGAGAGGAATAAGCAGGAGCATCATCATGGTAGAGAAGGACTCTCCAGTAAAGCTTTCCCAGGAATTTTTCTGCTAAAGTTTTGGCTAACTCTCTCAAAACAGTCTACTAACAAGAAGAGGTTATTGTTCTTTGGCCCTCCAGAAAGTCAACAAGCAAAATTTATTGTCATCCCCAAACCTGTTGCCGTGAACTTTATTCTTTACCTCTTTGTTTTTGCTTTGATTGGACCACTCCCACCTCTTGGTAGCCATTGCTCTGATTGTGCTTTGTCTTCAGGATCATACTGGTAAAGCCATGTGATATGTTCTGTTCTATTTCTATTTCTTCGAAGTAATGCTTCAGAATCTTGATCCCACTTGCTTAATATTTCCATTGAAAGTTCTGCTCTTGTCTACAGCTGATCTGGGCATGACAGTTTTGGTACCCATCAAGTGGAAAGTTTGCTCAACTTCAGTTTTTCAATCGGAGTTGTGTAAGTTGAACCAATTGAGATGTCTGTGCTGGTGGCTATTGTTTTTGCTGTTAATTGTTGGTCTTTTTAAATTAGGGTGTGAACAAGATTAATTTCTTCCTCACAAATTGATGTAGATGGTCTGCCTCTGTGGGCTTCAACTTCAACATTGTCTCCTGCCTTTTGAAAATGAGTTATCCATTTGTAAACTGCTGATTTCTTTGGGGCATTGTCCCCATAAACTCTTCATCAAGTATTAAGATTTCCTTATTCTTCTACCCACACTTCATCATAAATTAGATGTTTGTTCTTCCTTCAATTTTAAGTAGAATTAACATTACTCCATCAAAGGGCTCTTTCCAAACTGATGTTTTTTTCCTTCTTAGTGTCTCAAAGTAGATCCTGTTTAGATG